GTTATAAAAACTTGTTTATATTCTACACAAATGTATAGGCCTAATTTTTTTTATAATTTTGGCGATATGATTAGACGGTTTTATGTTCCTGAGGTAAATGTCACGTAACTGACACATTCTTCACAGGCTGTTATACTGATGATTTCCCTGGTTAAAACCGCTTATAGGCACAGAAATGATGCGTGATTGTAAGTTGTACTTTATTTTTCAACATATCTCTACATTCATGTTATAACTTGTATTACAGTAAAGAATTGTTCATTTAACTTGTGCTCCGTGCTGCTGTTGCATGAGGCAGATAACAACCTATCCCAGACTACATTAGACTTTGGAAACTTTTATTAGTTTTTTCCAAATTTGTTCATAAAAAATCCATTTAATTCAAAGGACAAATAATTTAGTAGGGGTGCAACTGAATTGTTCCTAGCAATAATTTTGATCAATTAAAATATATTTATATGTAACCACGGTTGTTGTCATGATACCACGGACATTTCCTGAGATGTTAAAGTCCACATGAAATCAAAATTTACAATATTTAATTTGTTAGTGCACATTGCTAGTCTTAAAGTCAATAATTAATCTGTGCAATTTAATCCTCTGAAAAAAAAAAATTTTTTTTTGGTAATCGTTAATCAAAATCTGATAATCACTCTGGAATGGCATGCCCACTCTGATGACGTCAGTTTGACGGCTTGGGCAGAATTTGCTTAACCACGCACCCCCAACCATTAGCCTCCTGTGACTGAGACATGAGAGGAGGAGGGCAAAAATAAAACCCCGTCCTCTACTCAATATTCCGTTTCAGTTGGAAATACGCCATCACACTGATATCCAGTCAGCAGCAACTTCCGGTTCACACGGACATTAAAGTAAATATGTCAGCAAACTACTCTCTTTCAAGGATGTGCATTTAATGCATGGCCAAAGTAAGAACATAATCTAAGTGTTTAAAACATGCAAAGTAGGATTGCCAACTGTTCCCGTATTTAAGCAACATTCCATATTAAATTCTTACAGAAAGCAGTTTATCATGTCACGCCCAGTTTAGGGAGCTAATCCCTCTCACAAAAAAAGAGCACCCTTAGTTGAAACTGTAATAATGACATATTTGACAAACTCTTCTTCTGTGCATATTTACATTTGAGCTCTGGAGAGCAGCAGATGTTTTTATTTACAATGTTTTCTGCGTTGAGCAGTGTAGCTAATTACAGACACATCCATTGAACCGATGAACTGAGATGAGTGACAGGCTCAGTGCATTTGAAAATATAAAGGGAGCACTCTTTGCACACATACTACTTCTGTAATGCATTCAGAATTTTTAAGTTTTTTTTTCATGATGCTAAGAAGAACAATGTCCCCTCACTAAAGTTCAGCTATAGTTTAGTTATTCTATATAAATACTAAAATGAATCTCAGACGTGAACATATTTGCTTTGCTTAATCCATTCATGTACAAATTATTTCTAAATAGGACGGTGGACTGGAAACCGGGTGTCTCAGATAAGACTGTTCTCATGCACTCTCTGCCACATTCACCTCAGTTGCTTCCACGTAGATACCTCTGTTGATCTGAGTTTGTGTTTACTTAATAAAAGTGAAGTTTACGTTACCTGCATGATCCTAGTCCTCGTCTTTGGCACATTGTGATATTGTCACGAATTCAGTCCATGGACTTCCATTACATTGACTCTTGCACTACACAAACTGTTGCATAGCACCCCAGACTACATTTCCCATTATCCTTTGCACAATTTGCACTGCACTGATTGCACTCAGCACAGATTGCACACAGCTGTTGACACTGATTGCACCCAGCTGTTTCATATCACTCCCTCACTATATAACACTCACTCTGATCCCTTCCCTCGGCCGAGTATTGTCTAGCGATTATCACTCTCCTAGCGATAGCTACTCTACAGAGGCCTTAGCCAGCATCACTCTCCTAACGATAGCTACTCTACAGAGCCCTAAGTCGTGCCTTAGCCTTAGCCTTGTTCTGCCTTGTCTAGCGATTATCACTCTCCTAGCGATAGCTACTCTACAGAGCCCTAAGTCGTGCCTTAGCCTTAGCCTTGTTCTGCCTTGTCTAGCGATTATCACTCTCCTAGCGATAGCTACTCTACAGAGCCCTAAGTCGTGCCTTAGCCTTAGCCTTGTTCTGCCTTGTCTAGCGATTATCACTCTCCTAGCGATAGCTACTCTACAGAGCTCGCGTCTCGTCAGCCCCGTTACAGAATACTCGGCCACACAAGGATCCAGCGGCTTTTTCTGTGGACTCTGGCCTGGTATGGACCCAGTCACCGAGCTACTACATCTTCGGCAAGGAGGTCTTTCGATTGAGGAGTATGTTCACCGGTTCTGTGAACTATCATATCAGGTACCACTATATGATGAAATTTTATTTAAAGACTTTTTCCGTTTTGGACTCGATGAACCCACGAAATCTTGGATGCCAAAAAGTAACATTAACTGTAGCTTAGAGGACTTTATAGACTATGCCTTGCTGACTGCTGGTTCATGGTGGGTGTCGCGGAGGAAGGAAGCGACACCTTGTCTGTGACTGAAGTGATGGCTGTATCATAGCATGCTCACAAGCTGGCGGACACAACAGCGCTCCGTCAAGTCACTGCTGATCTTCACGAGTCGGGTCAGGTCACAGTTCCTTTGCATGAGTCTAGTCAAGCCACAGTTGATAGTCATGAGTCAAGTCACAGTTGTTATTCCCGAGTCAAGTCTGGTCACAGTTGTTCTTCCTGAGTTCAGTCGAGTCGCAGCTAATCTTTCTGAGTCAAATCGAGTCACAGCTGATCATCTGGAGTCACGTCTCAACTGTTCGTCCAGAGTCACGTCACGCCTCGGTTATTCATCCAGAATCACGTTGCATCACAGCTGATCATCCAGAGTCAGGTCACGTCCTGTCTGTCACACCCAGTTTCTCAAGGTCAGTCCTTTGGTATCCCAGTCTGGTATCCAGTGTGAGGGATGCACCGCTGTTGTCTGCACGCACCGCTGTTGTCTGCACGCACCGCTGTTGTCTGCACGCACCGCTGTTGTCTGCACGCACCGCTGTTGTCTGCACGCACCGCTGTTGTCTGCACGCACCGCTGTTGTCTGCACGCACCGCTGTTGTCTGCACGCACCGCTGTTGTCTGCACGCACCGCTGTTGTCTGCACGCACCGCTGTTGTCTGCACGCACCGCTGTTGTCTGCACGCACCGCTGTTGTCTGCACGCACCGCTGGTGTCTGCACGCACCGCTGGTATCCCCAAACCCACTCACTCTAACCCTTCTGTTCATGAACTAATTCCCCTGTCTCCTCAGTCCCTGGTCTCTCCTATCCTTGGACCTGGCCCTCTGTCCCTCCCCCTGTTCCGCCTCCGCTCCACCGCCCACCTGGATCGTTTAGTGTTTGGAGCGTCTGGAAGCCGCTCCTTGGGGGGGGGGGCTCTGTCACGAATTCAGTCCATGGACTTCCATTACATTGACTCTTGCACTACACAAACTGTTGCATAGCACCCCAGACTACATTTCCCATTATCCTTTGCACAATTTGCACTGCACTGATTGCACTCAGCACAGATTGCACACAGCTGTTGACACTGATTGCACCCAGCTGTTTCATATCACTCCCTCACTATATAACACTCACTCTGATCCCTTCCCTCGGCCGAGTATTGTCTAGCGATTATCACTCTCCTAGCGATAGCTACTCTACAGAGCCCTAAGTCGTTTCCTAGCCTTAGCCTTAGCCTAGTTTTTCCTTGCCTTGTCTGTCCCCTTCGGTTTTGATCTTCGCCTGTTTTCCTGGACTTCTCCCTTTAGCCTTGCCCCTGTGACTCTGTCTGCCTATCGGTGACCTTCGCTAGCCCTGTGACTGTTCTTCTGTTTTGCCCGCCATATGCCTGTGTTCTGACCCTGCCTGTCGTATGACCACGTCTCTGTCTAATTAAAGCTTTGCATTTGGATCCGCACGTCTCACGTCTCGTCAGCCCCGTTACAGATATATATATATTATACACAGGCTAAATAACAGCACAAATATATTGACTGCCCATTATACTGGGCTGCTTATACTTTATAATAAATGTATTACATTATAAACTGACCAAAAATATTGTCATAATTATATTTATAATGTAATTGTTATTACATTTTGAGAAAATTATTACATAATCTAATACTTATTACATTATGTGCAGTTATTACATGAGTTGTTACATGCCCAAATAATAAGTCTTAGTTGAGGTAACATATGAAACACTTGGAGTAAATGGTTAAATTTTAATTGTCATTTGCTGTAGTTTTCTAAATGTTTGACCAATTAAATCATTTTAGTTGAATGGACTATAATAAAACGATTTCAGTAAAGCCAACTGTGAACCAACTAAAAAAATAATTCGGGCAACAATTTGAAGACCGAAATCGACTGAACGTAAAATTTCTGTGGAACTAGTTACTAAATTAGTTGAAACAGCTTAATTTTTTACAGCGTGGGTACTACAGCGTAAACATGGTTTGTGAAGACACCTATGTCCCTGTAAACAAATGGCTTTAAAAAACATAAAATTGTGTTTATATTTATTTATTGGAAATTCAAAAATTGCTTGTGTGAGGGGTAGGTTTAGGTGAAGGGTTAGGGTAAAAGGATAGAAAATACAGTTTAAGTAGAAAAACCATTACACCTATGGAATGAACCCATAATGATAGTGTGTGTGTGTGAGAGAGAGAGAGACCTGTTTTACACACATCACTCAAACACAGAAGCAGGAAACAGGAAACACGTGATTTCAGGGAAAGAGAATCTGAAGTGTAGTTGAGCTGTTGTGTGTTTCTGTTTCTGTATTCATGCAGTAAAATGGCATCTCAGGATGAGTTATTGTGTGCTGTGTGTCTAGATGTCCTGAAGGATCCAGTGACCACTTCCTGTGGACACAATTACTGTAAGAGCTGTATTACAGACTGCTGGGATCAGGAGGATCAGAGGAGAGTCTACAGCTGCCCTCAGTGCAGACAGACCTTCAGTCCAAGACCTGCTTTAGCTACAAACACCATGCTGGCTGAAGTGGTGGAGAAACCGAAGAAGAGGAAACACTCTGCTGACTGTTATGCTGGAGCTGGAGATGTGCAGTGTGACGTCTGTACTGGAAGAAAATACAAAGCCGTCAAGTCCTGTCTGGTGTGTCTGAACTCTTACTGTCAGAATCACCTCGAACAACATGAGAGTTTGTTTAAAGGAAAGAGACACAATCTGACTGATGCCACTGGACGACTGCAGGAGATGATCTGCCAGAAACATGAGAAGATCCTTGAGGTTTTCTGTCGCACTGACCAGAAATGTATATGTGTGCTGTGTATGGATGAACATAAAAACCACGACACTGTATCAACTGAAGCACAGAGGACAGAGAAGCAGGTATTTAAAACTAGACACTGATGAAATATTGTTGAAACTTTTTTTATATGTGTTTATATCTGCACCCATATTAACAGCTTACAGCATTCACACTGCACACAGCAGCAGAAATGAACAGCAGCTGCAAGAAGAGTTTCACTGTTTGCTGAAAAAAGCAGTAAACCTTTATCAACACAATCTTTTGTAAACTAGGCTTTGATTAAGCAACATAAAATAATGGAGTGAAGTGAACTAATCACTCATTCTTCGACAAAATGTATAATTATATCAGTCAAAGTACAAGCTAAATGCAGTGACAGATGTCAGTGAATCTGACTGAATCTAAATGATTTCAGTCATTTAAAGCTTCACTTTGTTCATTTCTTTACTGTGTAGAGCTGCAGCTTAATTACACAAAACACAGAAACACTCTCAATGTGAAGCTCTATGTCTGTGTCAGTTTCACTATTACTATATGTAATAGTGTAATACTATACGCGTGCAGTGTAAAACATGCCTTAATCTTCATGTTAATTCATGTATGATGATTGTAACCGATCATTACTTCTGGAGTTTGAACCTACAGCCATTAGTTAACAGCTCCACTTTTACTGGATTCATCTGTTCACATGAAGATTTAGTGCCAGTAGTTTTCTGTGACATTCACTATCATCCGTTTGTCCCGCAGAAGCAGCTGAAGGAGACACAGAAGACGTTCCAGCAGAGGATCCAGCAGAGAGAGAAAGATCTTCAGCAGCTGAGAGAGGCTGTGGTGTCTCATAAGGTGAGTCTGAAGAAGAAGAGAAGCTTGTCTCAGTTCAGACTCACCTCTTTCAGTTCCACTGAAGGAACAGAGCTAGGATCAGAGAGCTGGGTTAGTTTGGTCTGGAGGAGTGTTGGGATGATGTTATTGAAGGCCAAACTGAAGTCCACAAACAGGATCCTTGCATAAGTCCCTGGTTTGTCCAGATGTTGGAGAATGTAGTGCAGTCCCATGTTGACTGCATCAGCCACAGACCTGTTTGCTTGCAAATTGCAGGGGGTCCAGTGATGTCCTTCAGATAAGCCAACACC